GAACACCAAACGCAGCGGACAAAAATACCCCTCCAACAAATATGTCAAGCACTACTCCAAACGAAAATAAGCCAACACAAATAAATAAAAGACGGGAAATAAAAAGACACAAAAATTGATAACGGAGTTCGGCGAAAATAGCCTACGTCTCTGGGCACCGCCAACCGCAACGCCAAATTTACTAAACTCACCAACAAAATACAACTAGGGTTAAATAACCCACAAATTAGGATTTCCTTAATTAAGGATTTCCTACCAAGAGAGGAGAGAATAGAATAAGGTGCAATTGTAACCCAAAGGCAAGGGACCTATTTATACTAATAAGATCCTACACATCTTTGGTATACATTCGATGTGGGACAAACAATTAATAAAAAAACTAACAGTAGTGGCTCTGGAAGACTATAAACTCTTGGGTCTTTCAGTCCATTTGGGTAACTGAGAAGGACATTGCTGAAGGGGAAGCAGGAAAGGCCAGATAACCAAAATCTGATTGAAGATTTTTCCAGTAGGGTAGGTCAGCAATCTATTGCTGTCAGTGTTCATACTTCAAGAAAGGGATGGTTAGGCTTGGGTGGTACTTTGCAGAACTGGGGAGGGACCAACATGGACTGGACAGAGAAAATGCACTTTGATGGCACTTTGAGTTCTATGCTATTTTTGAAGTTTTCGTGGGGGAAAAAAAGTAAGAAGTAACTGATTTGTGTCTTTTTTCTTTCTTTTGCCCCTTTTTCGGCTTGGTCTAGCGACATATTGTTCCACCATTTCCCACTAAATTTTGGGACAAGGGACTCATAGAAAAAGCATTTCNAGTATCAATAATAAAATTATAGATAAATATGATTGTTTCTCTATTGAGGGCACAATAGCGTTTGGCAGCTTTTATCTATCTATTTATTTATGATATTTTAAAATTGTGAGTGATTTTGTAATAAAATGAATTACCTAAAAAACACTTAATGTAGCGTATTTTTAATGGCAAAATAGTAATACATAAATACATATTATATATTATATTTTTAACTAAAACTACCTAAAAAACTCTTACTTTGATATATTTTAATGACAAATTAATAATACACTAGTACACATCCTATCTTATATTTTTAATTAATTACTATTATTTAGTTAATTAAATACAAATACACGAACAAAACATTCCACATCTCTTAAAAATCAATCACAATATTCTCGCACCATTGTAACGACGGTTCAAGATGGTTCGACCCTGATTCGGGAGCCGCCGAGACAGTGAACCAACACATATATATACCCAGGTCGGTTCACATAAAATGCGAACCTGAGTTGACGGTTTTGAACCGAAATTGGGTGTTGGCCACGTCTACCTGTGGAGGTATGGATCCACTCATTCAGAGTTGAGAGATTCGACGAGCATGAAAACCAGGAGGTCTGGAGGGAGATTTTAGAGACAATAGATGAGCTTCGAGACAAGGCGAGCTTGTAGCCATATATAAACAACGGATGAAGGTTGTGTACGACAAGAAGGTTAAATGACAACGTTTTTAGGTTAGTGACCTCGCTTGGAGAAAAGCTGATGCACTAAGACGCGTGGCAAAGGTGAACCCGACCTGGGTGGATCCTTTCATGATTACGCGGGTCCTTAGGTGTGGGGCGTATGAGCTCAAGGACGAACATGGAAAGGCATTGCCTCGAGAATGGAACGTGCTTCACTTGAAGAAATTTTATGCGTCGATATGTTTTGTCAAATATTCTGATTTTTTTTTTTAATTTAGAGTTACATGAGTTGTCTTTATCAAATATTTCAACAGATTTTCATTAATAAATGTTTATTTAATTTCTCAAGCATCAACTCCAAGTTATTCGAGCGGGGTACTTTGTTTTGGTCTATGATCAACATGAAGCCTTCAGGGTTAGGTAGGGCAATGTACTTTATCTGGGTCTGCTGTGATCGACCTAAAGCCTTCAGGGGTAGGTCGGGCGAAGTGCTTTGTTTGGTCCACTGTGGTTGGTTGGTTGTCATCGGCCTGAAGCCTTCAGAGCTAGAAGGGGTAATTTGTTTTGTTCTGTGATCGACCTGAAGCCTTCATAGTTAGGTCGGGCGGGGTAATTTTCTTTGTTTCACCGTGATCGACCTGAAGGCTAGGTCGGTCGGGTACATTGTTTTCGCCTGCTGCGAACAACCTGAAGCCTTCATGGTTAGGTCGAACGGGTATATTTTTTGACTTGCTGCAAAAGATCTGAATCCTTCAGTGATATGTCAGGCGGAGTACATTGTTTTGGCCCGCTGCGAGCAATCTGAATCCTTTAGGGCTAGGTCGGACGAGGTATGACCTATATAACCTCCTTATGCTATAGGTTGCGATATTCACTCAAGATGAAACATGTTAGTTGATTATGTCAAAGCTTTTACGTGATAAATCGTGATAAGAGATTTTGATTACGTGATAAGTGACTTGTACGAAAAATTAAGCATGACTACAAGATAGGTCGAAATAAAAATAGGTCTTCAGAACAAGATCCAGATACATAAAACGAATGAAAAAAAAAAGTATATATTTTGCCCTAAAGGGGTCTGCGACTCAAGTTGATCCTGGTCGGTTGGGGCTTGTGTGGCAGGTAGCTAGAGTTGCCCCTCTAACTCGACCTTCTTCACCGCCATCTTGAGGGTTGGCTCCCACCACGGGTGGTCCTTGGGGAGTTTCGGTGACAGGTAGAAGAAGGTTTCCTGTGATAACTGCATAATCATAGGTCTCGGTTAAACCTTGGTGGACAGGCTACTCTTTGGTGCCCATGGGCGATCTCCATGACTTGCACTACCTATCAGGACTAGCGCGAATAAGAACAACACTGAATTTTTGAAAAGTTTTGGTAGCTCGTACTTATAGGCGCCAAGGAATTGCCGACCCATCTCCGAGGCGCAGGTCGTCGGCCTGGCCTATAGACGATCTCGACAATTACGAGCTGGTGCTCCTCTTCCTGAGCCTTGAGCTTCATACTGGCATTCGTAAGCAGAGCTTCATATTGGCATTCGTAAGCGCTATTTTGCTGCTGTCGAATGACCTCACTAGCCCGGGCGTGAGAGGCACACAATTCGTGGAGTTCTTTCCGCAGTTCCATCGCATTGCGGGCGACAACAGAAACGAGTTCCGAGCAGAGAAAAGTTAGTTATAGATCTACAAATTGTACATGATTGGTTGATAATAAGATTGATGTGAGCCATAGCGAGCTCGCACCTATAGTTTCCCTTCGAACCGCTTCATGTCGGCCTCGGACAGGACAAAAAGAAGATAGTTCACCAGCTGCTGGATGAGCTAGGGCGCTCAGGGCCCTCAGGGGTTCATTATCATATATACATTACATAGGAAAGAGAGACTGACTTCATATGTCGAGAATCCTCCCGACACTTTTTAAGGTACTCGAACACGATTCAGAAATCTAAAAAGAATAGGTCATCCAACCGAGATTATTTGATACATCCCAATCACCCACCGTTTTTTCCAAATAATGAGGCCACATTGGCTCATGCACCATTTAAATCAATATACCTCGTCAGCCCAAAAACTGATGTCCCTAATTAGGCATACATATAAAAACTGATAAAAAAATATATATTAAATGGCGCAATGCACCTTGGGTCGCTACGGAAACAGTCTCCTTGTATAATTACAAGGGTAAGTTCTGCGTACAACTGACCCCCCCAGACCTCAACCTGTTGGGAATGTACTGAGTATGTTGTTGTTGTTGTATAAAAACTGATAAAATAAAAAGCATTTCAGGAACATATGAAAATTCAAAAAATAATAGTGTTACAGAACTACACTCGGCTTGCTCACACGTACCATAATATCTACCACATATTTTTCCCTTTTCTAATTNTTGATTCTTAAATTTCATTTTGTGTAGTAATCTTTGGTGGCCATGTATAGCAACCCCCAACCCCGTCCAGATAAAGTAGGGAAAAGCAAATGAGGATGCATTAGTGAGTACATTTCGTTTCAACTTGTTCTTGTTCTCAAATGACAAGATATTCTGACAAGCTACTCCGTAAAGATCGGCTAGAAAATGACCGTGAGGCTAGGGAAGGCCCTACATGGAGAGTGCTATCACAACTTTTTTCGAAATGGGATTGGCGGCTAAAAGAGGAGTGGATGAAGACAAATCAGGAAAATGATAGCCTTCTCTCCCTCTATAAAGATCATCCAATAAGTTATGGAAAGTGATGTGTTTGGTGTAATCTATGAAATGTGAAGGAATGCTGGATTAGTTGCTGGTTGTGTAATCACTGTTTTTTTTTTGTTCTTTTTTTTTTTAAAACTAACTTTAACTAGAGAATCTGGCTTGTAGTGGAACCTAATAACAATAAAACAAGTTCTCTTTAATAAATTACAAGTCCCTCAACCGCATTTTCTCTCTCTATCTCTCCCACATAAGTAGATGATGTACTTATCCTTAAAAATTTGAGTCCATTTATTAAGTTAATGCTTAGATATAAGTTGTGATTGTATTTTTCAAATTAAGGTAATTCTTAGATATAAGTTGTGATTGTATTTTTCAAATTACAACTCAAATGTAACTGAACCTCAACTTTTTTAAATATTATCAATATAATTAAATAATATCGATCAATCCTCACATATCACATCATCTTTAATTCACTATTCACATACTCACATAATTTTAACTACTCATAATATCCAATAACTTTTCTCCTACTTTTCCATCAAATCAAATTTAATAATTTATCTTAAATATAATTTCAATACAAACTCAAAATTCCACTCAAACCTAACTCAATCAACCTTTTCAAAAATAAATATGGTTAACCCAAAAAACCAATTAAAACTCAACCTAACCTATATCCAAGCACATCCCAAATATGATGCAGCATAAGTCAACCACAGGGTTTTTGCATACGTAAAATTCTCAATGTTTATACGGATCTTGATTATAGGCTGGGCGGGATTAGAATTTCAAAATTTCTATATATTTTGAATGCTCATAAAGACTAGGAAATGCAAAAACAAAAATAGCAGCAGAATTATCTGAATCCACACAATTTTTATTTCAAACCATGCAAAGGATTAAAACAAAGGAAATAAATTGTACAGGGAGAATGTGTGGCTCTCAGCACATATAACCCTAAAAGCAACACCTCAAATATGGAAATCAGCTGTGTAATGTTACAATAGCTGTGCATGAGTTGAGTTTCCAAGTTTTCGAAGCAAGTGAGAGTACAAAAACGTATGGATATAGGAACATATCAGCATGAGTGGGGCCCAGAAAAAGGATCAACCTATGACAGAAAGAAAAACCCATATCTTCTTCTATTGTGTATCTTTTCCCCATGTACTTCACATTTTCGTATATTTTTACCATTTACGAAGGTCACACAAAACTAGGAATACTCCAGAGTAAGTGTTTTGTTGTAAAATAGATCCTCGAATTCACAAAAATGATCAAAGATGGAGCATAATAAACTCAGAGCCAATATCACCTATGTTGTCTCCCAGTTTGGAAGATGTGCACTTGCCTCGTTCACAGCTTTCACAAGCCTTACCTGCAGAATGCAGCAACAAATTCATTAAAAAAAACTGCAGCTAATTTTGTTTTTCCTAAATTCTTTTGTTTTTTTTTTACTAAAAAAAATAAAAATAAACAGATAAAAGCGAAGGCGAGTTTCGAAATTATAAAAGAGGCTCTTAAGTTTAAGGGCCTATAATATTTCTATGAATGTACGAGGAGATTCTGAATTCTTTTTAAGAATGTAGAAAAATTTCAGTAAGATTCAAGGGGTTTTTTATAATTGAATTTTTTCTCTGGGTTTTGTAATGACTCCAGACCTCAAGGGTAGTGTTTATAAATTTCACAATTGTGACTCTGTCTGAGTGGATAATTTATGCTGGCAGACTATGTTCCATGCAAGAAAGAAAACACGCATAACTGCGATGTCTGTAATTTTCATATTTACACGTGGTACATATTTTCATAGTGTAACCAAAATACCAAATAATAATAATTTCAAAACATTGTTAAACTACAAGCTGAACTAAACTCTCAATTGTAAAATCTTCATTTAATTTGCATCAGAGAAATTTAATAACTTCCACATCTATAGACATCAAAATATTGGTAAATGTTGATGAAATGAGTAGAGTTGTACAAATGGCTAATTATTCCTTGTATCATAGCTCAAAAAGAAAAAAAGAAAAAAAGAAAAGAAAAGAGAAGACATACCACACTTTCAGGGACACCTGGAGGAGGTAGTGAAATATTTTTAGGAGGCGGACCACGAAGGTGCGATCTCTTGTCAAATCTCCATTCTCCAATTTTGCCGTAGGTTAGTTCCCCCTGTTTAATTACCAGCCAGCAATTTTATTGAGGAAAAAAGGAAAATCAAAAGAGTTACATATTCACTATTGCAAGAAAGTGCACCAAATCCAAGCAATTTAAGATAAACGAAAGAGGTTAGCTCAAATTTCAGATTCGAATTAGTGGAAATTCGTATTACCTTCATGTTGTAGTCACAACCATATGTATAATGGATGATGAACTTCTTCCCAACTTCTGAATCAAATGGTGGCTGAAAGAACAAAGATTAACTCTCAAATTGGTGATAAGATGACTTAATAAGTAAAAAAAAAAAAAAGTTATCTGAAATATAAACCAACAGACCTGTAGCATGAAGTCCGCACGAAGAATATGTTGCACTCCATGCAAAGCAGAGGCAACTGCATAACCATACCTATCATGCACAAAAAGTTATTTAGGAAATTATAAAATAAATATTTAAAATAATCAGTGTACATTGTTTAGTAACCCACATACATTTCTAGGACCCAACCAAAAGCCTTATCAGTCTCGGGATCATCTTTCATCTGCAAGGAGACGTTCATCCATGTGGGTGCAATTTTCTCCAAAATCGACTGCACCATTGAGAATTATACCACAATGAAAATGTGAACAAAGATGAGGAAACAAAGGGACGAGGCGTAATGAAACTGCAGTAAGTAATGCGCTGAAAATTTGCAAAGTTTCTAATAGATTTTGCAGAAAATAGAAGTGGACCGATAAATAACTTTCAAAGTCCGTTATTTTGGAAAATTGAATTTGATAGCAATTTTTCGCAAGGTGATATTTGTGGTGGGTGGATGTAAGTATACATGCCTTTCTCAATCATAGGCCTCACCAAAGCAAATCAAAATTTGTGAAGGTCTAAAACAACTTGTTGCGATTCTGATATTAATGCCATATTCTCTTATGTTTTCCAGTAACGGGGAAATAAATTAATGCCCTTAATTTATTTGGTCAACTATGAGCAAACTTTGCCCAAAGAAGTGCGTCATAATTCAAGGAAGTTCATACAATCAGGTTTTCATAGCTTGGCAAATCAAGTACTAATTAGAATGTGCCACCAACACTCTTGAAGCATCAAGAAAATCATAGGAAATGAAAACCTGTACCTTCTTGATAATTACTGGAGAATTGCCAATTGGATCGACATTTGTCACCGGGCCTTTTTCTTCAGGATAATATTTTCTCACAATTTTCTCATGCTCAGCCGGTTTTATATAGAAAAAGGGGTATGCGGCCGGGTGATCTTCACCAGCCAAATTTGGCAACGGGTTAACGAATATATGATCAGGTTCCGCCATTAGAATGTATCTGCATCAGAATTAGTGAGACCAAAAGAAGATTAGTTTAGATCATACCATAAAGAGAGAAAGATTGTTTCGAGTTCCGAGAAGGAGAACACACTCTTCCTCGATGGTGGCTTTGTCCAGCCACTGCACGAAAGCCCAAGGTCTGTTTAAAACAATGTAACCCTGCAGAAATATTTAAAAAACACAAAACTAGTAAATAAGTTAAACTAAAATGGAGCATAAGAAGCAGCGGGCAAACAATAATGTTGTGGGAAGCATAAAAACACTCATAGCAAAAAAAAAAAATATGAAAATCTAAATACATAAAACTGGTATACAGGGTCTCTTGATAGGAAAAGATCATCTATTCAAGTTTGTTTCTTTGTCTGGCTCATTCATCATTTACTATAAGAAGTAAGAACATCGTTCTATTTATTTTATTTATTTATCTATTTTTTATGTTTCAGAATGTTGAACCCATTAATTCATTCATTTGAAACCAAGGACATTATTAGGATACACTTAATGCGGTAGTGAGAGCCACAAGTTCCATATGACTCACACGGAGTGCACATCAACTGGACAAGCACTTGACTATTTCCCAACAAACAAGACATAGCCAGTCAACTTAACACCACTATATCATAGATGTTCGATCAACATCATTATTACCTTCCTAAAGCTTTCTGAGATAAGTCTCAGGCAAGATAAGCCTGCACCTTTGCAATATAGAAGGATAAAAAATCTCTACTTTATTTCCATCTATTAGATTAGTTATACATTTTTTTCACATGCAAATTTTCTTCAGGCTCAAATTTGTTGATATTCAATCAGCATGTCAGACAGAGAGATTAAACTTGTGTATGTTGATAAAAATCTGGTAATCCATAATTTCCATCAAGAGGTGTTTAGCATAAAACAAGACATCAATAGAGCTAAGCCTAATGCCCGATCTATTTTACCAGCCTAATTTGTAGGATTCCCAAGACATTATGAAAACAAAATTCCACTTTCACCAAAGTCAAGGCACATTTATTTCATTCCAAGTCTCAAATCCTTCATATTCAAAACTGAAAGCACCGAAAAACTAAAAAGGTGGTCAGTCATGGCTCACCCGATCAAGACCGTCTGGAAGAGGATCCACAATGACAGTTGGGATTTCGTCCATCAAATTATCAGAATTTCCCGAATGCAAAATCCGAGTAAAACCTCCCATATCTGAACCTGGTGCATCCCGCATTTTCTTGTACCAATAATACATAATCCGGCATTGCCATTTGCTGTAAGGAGCATCTGTGGCCGTTAATGCCACATGGAACTTCGGTCCACCTACCTCACCCGACACTTCGGGCCTCCTAATAACTGGATCATTTAACACCCCAGTTACATTTCTACTGGTCTTGTGCATCACCAAAGTTAACAGATTATAAGTTGCAATGAAGAAGCCGAAAGCCAGCAACACCAACAGAAAGGGCGAAGCACGCCCCATGCTTTTTCTCGCAATCATTTTCACCTTGGAACTGGAATTCAGTCAAACGACAGCCCAAATGCTCAACAGGGGTTTTTCCTCAACGCGATTCCAAACCCCTAACTGGAATTAACCAGTCCCCAGATCCAATTTGCAGCAAAAAGATTGCAACTTTAGCAGATATGTCCAAAGTAAATGTTTCTCCTGAAGATAAAAAGGTCGCAAGAAAACAAAATATTTTTCAACTTCCAAATTTTGCCGAAATAATATCATAAAAAGCAGGCCGTGTAATTCTTAGAAATGGAAAAGAAAAATAATGGTCTCATCGCCATCCAAGAGAAGTGCAGTGCATTTCTTGGCAGAAATTCACTACCCAAGTTCATAGTACGATTACACAACCTGACAAGAAATTACAAGAAATGATTCTGAAATGTAATCAACCTGATCAAGCAAACCCACCAAGAAGAAACAGAAAAATTGGTGTAAAAAAATATAATAAAACAAACAAACGAACGTGCCCCCAGGTAACAGATGTGGGTCGTGCAGTAAAACAAAGTAAAGAATGTTCTTGAACAAATTATATTACACCCTAAGAAAAAAGAGTTAATTGAGTAAAAAATAAAACAGATCTAAAAGAATGTACCTAGTGGAGAAGAGACTGCCCGAAACAGAGGAGACGAAACGTCGAAAGTTACAGAATACAGATTCAAATACAGAGACAGTACACACGGTTTTTATTTAATTAAAATTAATTTTGTTTTATTCTTTGAGATTCATTGAACACGTATTTTTTAAGAAGGTTTTGATGTCAACAATTCTATATTTTACGCATAAATCATATATTTGCAATGATTATGCTTTTCCTTAACTACTACCTGGTTAGGAGTTACTGATTAATTAAACATGGAACCCACTCATTTTTATTTTTTTTTTGGTACAAAGGGAGATTGTAGTTCACGAGCTACTAGAGACAAATGTTCCGTGGACAAGAGGCACCTCGAACATCATACTCAAGCCACGGGACAACTCCGGACGGTGGTTCTGGAAGCCTATAGCACCCGAGAGAGACCGAAGCCGCATACGACGCAAATTTCAATACTTCAAGAAAAAAAAAGAGAAAGGGACAAACTTGACTCCATCTCTCTCTAACCCGTTTTTCCCAATTTCTCTTCGCCTGAAACCCTAGCCCATCAATTCGCCGATTGCCTTCTCCAGCGGGCCGCCGAGGCTCAACGACAGCCACCCCTTTGGCACGCAAGTCAGCCCCTCTTTGTCGATGTCGTTTTTCTCGCGCCGGGTGGGTTGGTCGTCTGATCCCGAAAGTTTCTCGTCGGTACCTTGGTTACCTTTTGTGTGCGATATGGACCAATCAGGTTGTGCCACATGTCCTCCGCACGTGGGGGTTTGATTCCTATGATGTCTCATCGAATGCTCTTAAGGTCGACCAGATCTAGGTCAATTGCTCTGACTGCTCCGAGTCTAAGAAATGGTTGATAAGACGACCGCTCTTGCCGGAGGTCGATCTTCGACCAGACCTTCCATGGCCCTTGGACTGACCTGCTCTACATGTACCAGAATTCCTCTTCAAGCTGTCTCATGATCCAAAAGCTCTTGTTCAGATAATGTTCGACCACGACCGCCCCTTCCGTACTTCGATCGACCAGGATGATTGACCGGTTTGCTAAACTGGCTTATTCGGCCGGTTTACTCATTTAGGTATCGTATCTTATATCATCTAGTCCCCCCGCTCTGGTCGAGTCTGAATGACTCGATCCAAGAGTAGATTTTCGTCTAACCACCAGTCGTCATCCATTCCACCACTTATCGACCACTTATAGGGTATTTTTCTGCTTTTTGACCATTTATCCTTTCAACCTTGTTGTGACCATTTTTGTTACGTTTTTTATTACTGTTTTGTCATTCACTTTCTCCCGTTTTAGGTCTTTTTGTTAGTTGTTAGTTCGTTTTGTAGTTTATTGTGTGTTTTGTTCTATTTTGGCTTTTTATGTGTTTTTCGTATATTTTGTCTGTTTTCTACGTTTTTCTTATTGTTTTTGGTGTGCAGGTCAGAAGCCCCGTCAAGAATAGATGTAGCCCGAAAATCAACCGAGCAACCATGGTTGGGTAGACGGGTTCGTTGGCGACATATAGAAAGAAGCGGAGCTCAATTTCGAGCTTACACGAGTCCGAACGGGCCCAAAATGCGAAATCGCGCGGATCACGTCTTTGGTGTTGTTGACGGGCGTTTCCGGTCAACGGTTAAAAAGATAAATAATAGAAAAGGAAATGGTGTAGAGATAAGAAAATACGGTTTAATCGCAATTTTATTGACAGATCGCTAGGTCGGCCTCTCGTACGAGGTCGGCACTTGCAATATCCTTACAAATAGTTACAGAGTAATCACGCGAGTTTTAGAGAGAGAAAGTAGAGAGAGATAGCTATTACAGTTGAGGTTCAACAACCCAAAATAAATGAGAAGGGTTGCTATTTATAGTAGCCTTTAATGTGGCACTGTTCAGATACTGTTCATCCGTCTTGTCGTACAGTGTTCCTGCGGGACAGTCCGGCGCTTCTCTGACAGCATTAAATGCGATTTGAGGTTTTCCTCATCATTAGGTGGCAGGCATTTAATGCTGACAGGCTTTATGTCTTAACTAGGAGGAGTAGGTCTGCAGGCTATGACGTCCCATCCATTTAGCCAATGATTGCCCTCCAAGTGGCATTATTATACCATTATAGAGACCGGCATTCTCCGTCGTAGAGACCCGCTCTGGGACCCCAAGTCGGCACCTCGGCATCTGACTTTCATCTATTCCCTTGGTCCTGGGGAATCTTTCTTTCAGTCCGTCGTTTCTCAGCCCGGCACCCGCGGCGTCGTAATTAAAGATACCGAACTGACGAATGGTCTCACGGCGATGTCAGGGTCAAAAGGTTGTCCGGTCCAGCTCGGCACCTTATAGGTGGACCGGTTCTCTGGTTCGGCTCTCGGAATTAAGTGGTCCGGTTCAGTCTCATGGGCGAACCCGGATGTCAACATACAGGCCCCCGGGCTCGGAGAGGGTATGCTTCGGCATCCTCTGTGAGGCCGTTACCCTTAGAATACATTTGGGGTCGGCACATGACCTGGACTTGAGCAAATCACAACCACAATTTGCCCGTTATCTTCTGATCTGAATTGACGCCCCATTTAATGCGTTGTGACCGTTGTGCTTCTTGTCGGTTACGAAAAGGCGTGCCGGTTCAGAGCTTTTACACGTGTCGCCCATTTATTGGCGCTCTCCAAACGTCGTGTCGCTTCGTCGAAGCGGTGACTTTTGGGGCGCGTGGCTTTCACGCGGCCGTTCATGAACCGTCGGATCGTTTCGCCCCCCACCGTTGGATCGTGTCCTTTAATTTCGAATTTTAAATGCTGCGCCACGTGTAGCGTTGCGGTTGGTCCTCCGTATGTATATATATCCCCATCGTCTTCCTCAAGAAGCTTTTACGAATTCCGAAGTTTCTGAGCAATTGACTCTCTGAGCAACGAAGTTTTCCAGCAAGGGTTCCGAGGCTAATTTCGAGATTCCTTCGAATCTTTTCGGCGCTTCTCGTACCGGTAATTCCGTTTCCTTCGAAATCCTCCTTTCTTTTTGTTTTATTTTCGATTATGTCGAGTTCTTCCGATTATGCGGCGAACTTCCCTGCCGGAGATGGCGGCTTCGTGGCGGAGGAGACGGGGGAGTTAGTGGTTTACTCCCCTCCGGCGGCGGAGATGATGCGACCGCTCAGGGTTACGCCGATCTCGGCCGTCCGCGTTACGTCAGCGACAGCGGAGGTGGGCGCGCGTCGCGAGGGCCCTTCGGATTTTCCCACTGTCGAGATCATCGACCTCGGCTCCGACCGGTCCGATGGCGGCGGGGTTGAGAAGGAGGCCTGCGCTGCCCCCTCCGAGGACTCCGATGTCGATGCCGAGCTGGTCGACGAGACGCTCCGCGGTGATACCCACGGGAGGGAGCGGGTCCCCATGGGTCGTGAGGATTCCGAGACCGACGCTGCCGTCGAGGATGCCACCGCGGTTCCTCCCAGATGTTGGCGCCGCCCTGCGCGTGTGTGGCCATCTTCTGCCTCGGCAACTGCTTGGACGACGGCGTCAATATTGAGGGACGTCGATCTCGCCCAACTGCGGGGAAAGGCGTGCTTCGGTGCCGGGGTCCGAGTTTTCGCCCCCTACGCCGGCGAGCGAATTCATTGCCCCCCGCCGGGCTGCATCGGGGTGTATCGTTCCAGCATCCTGCTCGGTCTCCGATTCCCTTTGCCAGGAGCCTTGAGCGACATCCTTAGTGGGATCGGTATCGGCATCAGCCAGTTCGTCCCGACAGTCTTTGCCCGGCTGGTCGGCCTTATAGTCCTTTTCCGCCAGCAGGGTTGGGCTGACCCGACTAGTGATAAGGTGAAAGCCCTCTTTGATTTCAAAAGGTCCGGGGAGTCCGGCAATTACTATAGCTCGGTATCTCCCGGCGTAGAAAAGTCCTTGATTCACAAGGTCCCTGAGTCACTGCATGGCTACATGCCGGAGTGGTTTTGGGTCGGCGGCGAATGGAAGACGCCGAACGCGACTCGGCACCCGTCGACTGACTTCATTTCTGGCCCTTGTAAGTTGTTTATTTTCGTTCATTTCCGCTCTTCTGATTAACTGTCCTTGTCTGCTAACAGGTCGGTGTTTACATTTCAGTCCACAACCCCCATATTGAGCCAAGTGACGAGCTGGTCGCAAAGATCGAAACTCTGCTCGGACTTTCTGCGGACAAGCGTAACTACCGGAGTCTTGTCGCGGAAGAGAGCTTGATCCAGCACAATCTCTGTCCCGAGTACAACAGCAAACATTTCGAGCCCGGTACTCCTCTAGCCTCAGATTCTCATTCATGTGTTTTAGTGCCCTTACATTCTGTTCTCACCCTTGCATTTTATTAATGTCTGACAGTGTACTACCCTCTCCATCGCGAGTGCGGATTCGGCTCGGTGAAGGACGCCAACAAATACGCGCGCGCACATCCGAGCTCTTTAAAAGATCGAAAAATGGCCAGCCGTATGGATTTCTTGACAAGGCAATCGAGGAGAAAGGCCCCAGCGTCGAGCTCAACGGGGGCTTCAGACCCCGCTCCGCCGAGACCAACCTCCGGGGCCACGCTTCCCCGAGAGGCCGAGGTACCTGTCAGCTCGGCCCCAACCGTTACCGCCCCCGCTCCCGCAGGCGGACGAAGGAGCCGGGCTAACATCTCTGAGCCCGGCGCCGGCCACGGCCGAGGTGCCGCCAGTCAGGGCGGGCCCGCCCGTCAGAGGAAGCGTCGAATCCTCGCGGAGGAGCCCGAGGAGCCGGAGGAGCCTGCGGAGGACGAGCTCGGGGTGCAAAACAGTGCCCCGCCGTCCCCGAAGAAGAAGAAGGTGGCTGAAGTCCCGGGGGCCGCCACGGCGGGTGAGAGGTCGGCTCATGTCCATCAGGCCGGCTCCTCGACATATATACCCGTGAACCCGAGCCGCAAGGCCAGCCTCTCCAAGAGCCTGGAGGGATTCCCTGATCAGTGGTTCATCGACTCGGCGTCGGCGATTTCACTTGAGTTGCCCAATCCCCACAGTCTGCCGAGGGAGGTGATGTCTGCGGCGCAGGCCGTGATGGCCTCTTGGACCCCGACCGCTGAGACGGCGATGACTATGCTCTCGCCGACACAGCTCATTCAGCACTCGGTGGCGTCCATGGGCCGGACCATGGTCGAGCTGATCCACGCCGCCGTGGCCATGCAGCGGGAGATCGACGCA